TGTCGTTCTGTTGATTTCTACCATTTTTCGCTTCCTTTCCTCCGCGTCGACCTCAAAGATCGGACCTTCTATTGAAAAATATTTATTTTATGCTTATATTGAAAAAATAAAAATCTGAATTTTTTTTTGAAATTCGGTTTGGTAAGTGAATATACGGTGTTCTGCACTCTCGGTATTTGTAAGTGCAAAAATCGTTATATAAAAATACACTGCAAATACGGTAGGCAACATATACGGTAAGTTGCAAATACCATAGGCAACATTTATGGTAAGGTGAAAATATGGTAAGTTGTTTGCAAATACGGTAAGCTGTAAATACGGTAGGCAGCGTATACGGTAATGTAAAAATACGGTAAAAATATAATAAATACAAAATTCGTGCAGCGCACGTGATAGCGACTAGTTTAAACATAACGACAGTTATACCGTTTTAATGTTTTATCTCAATCCAGTAACGGCACAAGAGTCGTTTTATAAGCGGTAACGACACTTGTACCGTTCTTATGAACATGTTTTTGTCTTTATAACGCTACTTGTGTCGTTCTCCCTATCTTGAGTTATATGAACATTATCGTCGCTTGTGTCATACTTGTTATTAAGTTTGTCACTATAACGGCAGTTGTGTCGTTCTCTATATCTTTTCAAGATCAGTAACGACATAAGTGTCGTTCTCAATGACCTTTTCATCCTCTAAACAACACTTGTGCCATTCTCTTAGAACTTTTCATCTTAGTAACGACACAAGTATCGTTCTCAATGACCTTTCATCCTCAAGCACTTGATCTCTAAATTATGCAAGAAAACTAGATCATGTGACATAGAATATGGAGTATTGAACTAAGTTAACCCATTTGCTTGTAACGACATTTGTTCCACCCTCATAGATACTTATATAAGTCCAACAACAACACTTGTATTGTTTTAATGAAAGTTTATAATTTATGCAATGTCACTTGTGCCGTTCTCATATACACTTATAAGTCCAGAAATGACACTTATGTCTTTTTTTGAGACATAACACAATAAAGATACACGTCAATATTTAACAAAAGACAAACATATCCTACAGAAAAAATTCATCCCCTGGAATAAAGTCATCTTATTGATCTGCGCATTTTCAAATGTAATCTACAACTTTTTTACATTCTTCAAAATATCAAAATTCTCAAACTCGAGTGAAAAATATATATACCTTGAAACAAAATAATTTTGAGGGGTACTGTAAAACGCTAATCCTAAGCTCTAGTTACACTAGAATCATACCCCCCACCACTATAATTAACATTATTTCAACCACTACCACTGTACTAATATGTGCTTTCCCCACTCCGAGTATAAGAGTTATCACTTCTAAAATCACGACCACCAAAATGCCCACACCACGTCTACTTTTACCTCTATATGGAGCTCGACTTGTAAACCAAATCAGCCAATGGGTACCTCTTGATTGGCTTATCAAATCAGCTGGTGGCTTTGTTGATACGTGAGCAATGTAGGGAATATCAAGGCCATGACCTGCCATATCTGTCACAACCAAAATTAGTGTGTTTCCACTTTTAAACGATTTCAATGCTAGTTCTCTTTCTTGGAACAACAGGTAAATCAAAGTCAAATCAAGTAATAATCAATGTAGGCGTAATGATACAACGTTTACGCAACTAAAGAATAAAATGATTCAATAAAGTCAAGGGGAAACACAACCTTTTAAATTGCAAACTTATATACATTATTTAGTAGGTGAAGTTCCAATCTACAAATAAGGGTACTGTGGTAAAAATAGGCAAAATATAATATGAAAAAATTCTGAAATCAACAAGTGTAAAGTTTAATAATAGAACTCACATAAAATAGGAATTACAGTAAAACATAATATAAAGATTTTCCTAAAAATGCCGAATTAAATTATTCTTAATGCAACTCTCTAAGTTTCAAGGCATATCAAAGAACAAGCACATTTACATATCACAATTTCGATTTATAGCAATGCCAGTAAATGAATTTTTTTTTAACCCATCATCTTCAAAACCCCAAATGTATCAAAAATCCATTCACATTAAAAAAACTCAGCTAAAACTAAACTAAATATACAAATAAATCACGAAATCATAAAAAAAATGCAATTTTTACAAATTTTTATTAAAAAAATATAGTAATGGAAACAAAAAATCCCATTTTAAAAAAACAAAAAAAAAAAAAAATCGTAGAAAAAATTACCTTTTTTGTTGTCTTAACTTGTACCAAAGAGAGAGTAAAGTAATGTGAAATAAACTAGAGTCAAAGAAAAGTTTTTTGTAATATTGAAATATAGTGAAAATTAAGGTGAAGAAGATGGGTTTGGAATTCAAGTTTGGGGAATAGGGTTTCACAGGAAAAGGGAAGAAGAAAGAAGAAGATGAAATGAAAGAAGTTGGGTGAATAAGTTGATATAAATTGAAGGACAATTTTGTCATTTTATCAATTAAAACATTTTAAATGTTTTTATTCCATTTTAATGATGGTCAAAGGCTATTTGTCCAAAATCATTGTCCAAGTGGGTCATCTGGCCAAATTCCCCAATTTTTTATTGTCGTGGCAAATCTTCAATTTATCCGATTTTTTCTTGAGTAGTGACCCTCTCTACGCAATCATTTCCCTTGGTCGACTTAGCCCTCTGGTACGCCTTAGTATTCCTTACGACCTAAGTTTGGAAGACACATACTCCCTAGTCCGTCGTGAAGTAAAGAAGCAAGTTAGTATAAGGATTGAGGTTCACTCCGAGGCGTCCGCAAGGCCTAGCATCCACTGCCACATGGTTAATGTTAGGTGGAGATCACATGTTTATCCGGAGTGGTTCAAACTTAAGCAAGCTCAAACGAAGAAAAAGAAATCTGCTCAGGTTGCCACGTATACATCTCAAGTATCCCCTCATGGAAGACAATCTAACAAAGATTGCAATGGTAGAGATAGTAGAGGGTCTCTACTCTGTGAAAGAGATCCATTTTGTAATCAGAATTTGGCAAAGGTGTTTCCAAATAATAGGTCATTCTATATATCACTATCCAAATTGGGCATGTGTAATGTCTATACACCAACTTGAGAAGGAAAGTTACAATAAGATATCCGTTCCTGTCCCATTGATCGCTCTATTTATGTTTATATTTCTTTTATTTATTTATTTATATATCCTTAATCAGTGAATATAATTACTTTTTCACTAATTTGTTAAAAACAATTTATATTCTCTTTAAAAATGATGATAAATCTATCATTTTTGTTTGATAAAAATTTAAATTTGAAATTAATTTTAAACGTGACAAGGACTATATTTCCCGTACCTGCCCCATAACCTCTTCGAGAAAATAACCCTCGCCCCGTACCCATCCCATTTATCCAGTTAGGAAGGTAATCTCCTCCCCATTTGGGGCGGGGCCCTTGGATATCGGGTTAAATGGGGTTTTTTGCTATCCCTAATTCTAGTTTAGATAGGAATTAATGTAGTAATAGAACAATATTATCTTTTTCCTTTTATGGATAGGATTGCAATAGTACATATAAGGTTGATAATATGAATAAAACTAGTTAAGTCTACATTTCACCTATGTAAACATGGAGGTTTTAATCATGCATCTACAAAGAAAGAGACAATAAGCAAAATTGTTTTCTAAACCCAGAAAGAAAAATGGCAATTGGAGAAGATAAATCAGTACCACCAACTCTTCATCTAAAAAAAATGGTGGAACGGAGAGATGGGGTAGGTTTGTAGGTGTCGAAAATTCCATCTGGTGGCACTACATCATATTTTCTTTAAACCTGCCTATCAGTTTAAGAAATTTTCTTATAAACCATGCATGTGATTTAGGAAAACATCGAATAATAGAGGCCAAAATTAAAAAATAAAATAATGCAAGACACGGTGAAATATTAATTTAAGACATCACAAAGTTGATGCAACAACATTATTCACCAAGAAACAACCATCACAATGACAACCATACAGAAGCGATGCTTTAGGAAGAGATAACCAGGAAAGAAGCCTCAATAAACTGAAAACAATGAAATTATTGGCAAAGCCATGACCAGCACATTTCAATATTGGCTCATAACACCTTTTTCCATGAACAATTCATGCGATAGCCTAAAACTAAATGGACTAAAGCTTAATAGAGATAGTTAAGCTCGGTTTTTTCCACAAATTACATTCAGATCAGGCATGTTTGACCAAGCTGCCTAAAAATCTAATCTTGTTTCTTTGCATTCGGTTCATCTAATCTATAGTACTGATTGCACATGCATGGAAAGAGAAAACGTGAGATAACAAATCTGACTGTGTGTCCCTCAAAACACGGTTAAGAAATTTCACCCACTGAATATTATTAAATTCCACACTATGTTAATAATTAGATGAGAAAATAAAAAGAAATGAAGAACATCGGCCAGATAATATGTACCAACACTGTTGATCCACTGAGGGATGTTGCGGGATTCTAATTCACAAAGAGAAACAACCTACGGTTATAATATAAAGCTTTTTAATATCCTCGGTTCATTTCTTGAGTTCGAGGATGGTAAGACACATAATATCACGAAATATGACAGGATAGGTGTACACCACAGTGCAACCTAATTTACAGACTGGTGTATACCCTTTTGGACATCATCTGTTCTTTGATCGACTGTATTACCTCAATGCACAACCTAATTAACAGATAACGACTGCCATTATTCAGCACCTGTATCTTCAACAGATTTCTTATACTCTGGCTTGAGCTCATACGTTCCTTGGTTGGTTCCTCTTTTATTGTATACACAGAGCTCATTCAGTATCTCCTTCAAAAATTGCTGCAATAGAAGATGCATAAATATTAGGTCTATAAGGTAGATCAGGCATGTTTGACCAAGCTGCCTAAAAATCTAATCTTGTTTCTTTGCATTCGGTTCATCTAATCCATAGTACTGATTGCACATGCATGGAAAGAGAAAACGTGAGATAACAAATCTGACTGTGTGTCCTCAAAACACGGTTAAGAAATTTCACCCACTGAATATTATTAAATTCCACACTATGTTAATAATTAGATGAGAAAATAAAAAGAAATGAAGAACATCGGCCAGATAATATGTACCAACACTGTTGATCCAATCAGGGATGTTGCGGGATTCTAATTCACAAAGAGAAACAACCTACGGTTATAATATAAAGCTTTTTAATATCCTCGGTTCATTTCTTGAGTTCGAGGATGGTAAGACACATAATATCACGAAATATGACAGGATAGGTGTACACCACAGTGCAACCTAATTTACAGACTGGTGTATACCCTTTTGGACATCATCTGTTCTTTGATCGACTGTATTACCTCAATGCACAACCTAATTAACAGATAACGACTGCCATTATTCAGCACCTGTATCTTCAACAGATTTCTTATACTCTGGCTTGAGCTCATACGTTCCTTGGTTGGTTCCTCTTTTATTGTATACACAGAGCTCATTCAGTATCTCCTTCAAAAATTGCTGCAATAGAAGATGCATAAATATTAGGTCTATAAGGTTCAGAAATTGAAAAACCCAAGTTAAATTCTTAAGACACGGTTACTTAATGCTATGTGAGCTTGAATCAGGAAAAAAAAACATTGCAGAATCACGGTTTAAAATATCATTTTCATAACGAGCCGTGCTAGAATGGAAAAGAGTAAAATTCTAGGTAGGTATTTGAGAAGGCTTTGGAACACAGTAAGAAACTCAAAAATGTTTATCATTAATCAATTATTCACTTTTAAGACAATAACTCAATTTTTACATATAAAATGAAAACATGTTTATTGACATAATTTTCTATAATAACAAACTAAGCCTTATTCACAAAAAACATGGGATCAGGCGCATGAATACATATTTTTGCCACTTAGTTGGAGCATTGAACAGATCAAAGAAATCAAACGTTTTAACCACAACGGGCCATAACCTTTAGGTCTAACTCTTTCTTCTCAAATCGCATGAAAGGAAACTTTTCTCAAGTCTACGTAAGGCATGCCTCGACCTCTTAAACTACTCATCTCTTAATTTATCATCAATCAATACTATGTCCATCTTTTAGCATACATTGTCATTTCTTATTTTATTCATTATAGCATGATCATATGAATCATCTTTAAAATCCTCATTCCTGCAACATTCATTTATGGACATATTGTTCTTTAATGGTACACACAAAATCATAAGCATAGTTGGTCTAATAACTGTTCAGTAAACATTGGCTTTTAACTTGATAAGCATATTCTGATTCCATAGAATCTCAGTGTTACTTCACCATTTTATCCAACTCACTCTGATATTATGATTTACATCTTCTTCAAGTTTCCTTAATAGTCTCCATAAGCATAGCTGGTTAATAATATCTATTCAATAAAGCTTTCATTTTAACTTGACAAGCATCTTCAGATTACATAGAATCTCAATAGCACTGCCCTGTTTCATCAGACACTCTAATCTTATGATTTACATCTTCAAGTCCTCCCTCATTATTAGTCCACTTCCCTCATTAACAATCGATCCTAAATACTCAAAGCAATCATTGTGTGGGATTGATCCTCCCAATGACTACACTATCATGTTCCTTCCAATTATAATCACACAGTATATATTTTCTGTTTAATCCTCCTTATATAAACTATTAGATTCTGAAGTGATTTTACAAAGTTATAACATATACTACTCATTCTCATCAACCAAAAGTATGTCAACATCCACCAATTGACACTCATGGGTCATAAAATGATATTATGGGGGAGGGTATAATTTAAAACTTTCAGAAATCAGTTTGATTTTATGCCGTGGCGGTTTAGAGCCTGTTTGGGGGTAATTTTTTCCCCCAAAAAAATTGATTTTTTGACCGTTATTTCACTATTCCAGCCGTCATATTTGACTTCTTATCTCACAAGTGGACCTCACTTTTTTTTTAGCGGTCAAAAAATCAATTCTCAAAATCACTCTCAAACAGGCTCTCATTATGGAAGCCATTTATTTGGAAGATTGACAGAGAATCACAGAAAGAAAAAAATTTACATCTGGTTTTCGTTTATCCACAACAAGTCGATGACAAAGGAATTTCTACTAGATACGTCAATATGAATTATATGATTAAGGTCTTGTATGATAAAGCACGCACGAGGATGGAATGGGGTGGTCGTAGTAGTAGATATTTTAGAGTCTAGCACCAAGGTGCTGCATTAAGCCCTTATCTTTTTTAATAATTCATGGATAATTTTACCAGACATTTTCAAGATGAGGTCCTTTGATGTATGTTATTCACTAATGTATAGTTTTAGTTGGTAAGACAAAAAAGCGTGTAAGTTAGAAATTTATAGATTTTGGAATCTAAAGGCCTTAATTTGAGTGGAAACAAAAATGTGAAACACTTTAATAATAGTAGAATATGGGTAATAATGAAGTTACTATAGAGGACCATGTTGTCCCCACGAGTGGTTTTAGGTATGGAAGGTCCATTATGAACAAGGGAGGAATGAAGAGGGTGTATTGAATTTGATTAGAACGAGTGGAAAGAAAAGGAAAAATGCTAGAAGAATTTTTGTGATAGGAAGTTCCTATTAGGGTTAAAGGTCAATTCTACACAACCATTGTACCTGTTACCCTCCATGGTTAAGAGCTATGATACACAGACATGGATACATGTGTCCGATACGCTGACACGTGGTTTTTCAAAGGGTGCCGACAAGACGCATTATCGACATGTTTATTAAAATATTTAAAATTCTCTATTTATACAATATAAATTTAGTTTTATACTCATTATTAATTTTTCTTGAAATATTTTAAATATTGATACCTATTTGTTATTTAATAATAACTTTAGGTTAAAAATATATAATATTTCTAATTAAAAAAAGGAAAAATGATCATGGAAGAATATCATTATCCAACACATGTCAGACACGGACATAAACATGCCACTCTAGTTGAAGTGTCCGTGTAACACAAGTTAAGAGTGTTAGGCTCTTAGGGACAAAATAGCCATAAGATAAATGTTAAAGAAATGAGGGACTAGGATGGTCATACTAAAATGGATAAGAAAATATTAAGAATATCCAACAAGTAGAGGAGGTGCCGATTTAGGATATTTTTAAAGTAGGACAACTTGGTTGGGACATGATCTAAAGAGACTCTCATTTATAATATTGACGTGATCCTTAAATGTGTTAAAAGAGAGAAGGATAAACCAAACTAATAAGGTTTATTGCAATTTCTATGGACTCTGTTGCTTTCGATCTTCAATAAACATAGCAAATGGACTAAAAGCATGTTTACGAAGTGTTCGTAAATGATTTAAATTATAAAAAGATAGAAATGAGTAGTGAATAAATGGATAGTACTTGTGGATCTCGAAATGTGTGGATAAAAATAGCTAGAGTCCATAAATAGCTTACAAAGATGAGCCAAACATAGGCTAAATATATTAGTGCAAAGGAACTCATGTAACTAACTCCAAATTTGTTGAAACAAATGTTATATTGTTGTTGTACTTTATAAATAGGGACAATCGAAATCTTCCTCTACTCATTTTCTCTCTTTAAGATCTCATTAAATTTTTTTATACTACAAAATTTGATAATCATCTAAGCACTTCCATACTTGACATATATTCCACCCCAACCAATTGTTTTGCTTTATCCTCTCATCGCCTCCCTTACTTTCGAGACTTGGATTCGTCTAGGATAGTTAACATTTATATCTTTATCACCTCGATGAATTCTTAACATCCTAGCTATGGCTTTTAGTAAATAATTTACTAAGAGAATTCCTTAGCTTTAAATGATATCATCGGCATGAATAAAATTCTCTACCTTCCATAACTTAGCCCTTGTTTGAGTCTCATTTTTAGAAAAAAAAAAAAAAAAATACATTCTTCAGTAGTGTTTTGACATCATTTCAATCACATATTCTTCAATAAAATAATATTACACGCAAATCCAAAATTTTTCCTTATTTTTTCACCACACATTTCACATCAATATACTATTCAAAAAGACATTTTTCTACCAAAATGGGGCTCAAACAAGGGCTTAGTTTAGATGTAAACTTCCAGTCTACCTTTATCAAAACAATTTGTAAATAGCTTTCTTTCATCCTTGGCTCCAACTTAACTATACTACTAATATGCCTCCGCCAAGAACTCACAAATTACCATCTTTTCTTCTATGCTCTTGCTTATTCTTTTATTGTTATTTTTATTTTTATTTTTATTTTTTTTGGGTGGGGGTGGGGGGAATACACGCATATATTTGGAAATAACAATACTTCTATTGAAAATCTAATATTTTTTATTTGTTTTTCCATTTTGTTTCAATATCCCTTAAAAGGTAAATGAGTGGGACGGCATGGTGAGAAGCATTAAGACTTCAAACCAAACAGCAAAGTAATAAAGCAACGTAGAGGCTAAAAGACATGAAGAGCTATGCCGCATCTTTTTAAAAGTAAAATAATGGTATAATAATATATAGCAACAGAATATTTAGAAGTAAAAACTGCCGATCAACAGATTCACCACACATATATTGCTTTTGCATTTCTACAAAGAGAACAATTTTCAACTCATAGAAGCCAAAATTTTAGAGGCAGAGAGATTGTAACTTGCCACTAGTGGAACAATGATAATCAAAGACATACCGCAGGTTGGTCAGTTTGTTGGACCAGCTGCTTCAACGTCCAGTTAGGCTGCGTTTCAAAAAGCTTAAACATGATGTCTTCCAGCTCCCCACGGTCCCTTCTAGTTCTTTTCACATCTGATCCCTTAATTGGAGCTGCTTTCCTCTTATCCTACACAAAGACAATAAATTTTAAGTATGCAGTTCATGTAAGTTTTTACAATACAACCTTGAATAACTTAGTATAAATTTCATAGTGATAGACACTTCAAGGGGAACTTAAGCAACAATAAATAAATTATCCATCACAAAAGAGAAAAAGCCCATTTAAAACATTAATTGCATCCTGACCAAAGTCCTTAAATACCCCAATGGGTGATATACCCACACAAGCATCTCGGATTTGTAGATTTCTCTTAAACTCACATGCTACTTGACAAGTACATGTGGAATTATTGGATTTTAAATTTAGCAAACAGCAACACACTATGTGTGGCCCCCCCATTTTTTCAAAAACTCAATTTTTTCAAAATTTATTTTCAACTACACATTCTCTCATGAAATAATGTTACACGCAAATCGAAAACTTTTTCTTCTTTTTTAACCACACATTCTTCAAAAAATCACTATTCCAGAAAATACTTTCTTACCAAAATGGGGCTCCAACAGGAGTTAAATATCTATAGCTGTCTGGAATAGGAAACCCTCAAACCTGTAAACTGAACACAAATCAACAATCCGACAATCTTTTATGCTTTTTTTGCAAGCGTCAGTTTCACTGTAAGGTAATTCTTGGTTCTCTTAGCCAAAATTTTCTAGCAACCTAACAGTCTAAATTATGGATTCAATTTTTTGTTATATTTATATGCACCTATAATTTATATTTCTAAGTATTCATTCAAATATCTAGAGTCTGTCAAACCCCAATACTTTAAAAGGTCACCACACCACCAGCTCTCATGATTAAACGTGGTAAGAAAATTTAAGAGTTGAACCAATTGTACATTCATGATACACAATTCAAGTGAAATTTTGAATAGTCTAGAGTAGACTGCAATATTACCAGAGACACAGCGTGTTCCCCTGTGTAGAATGAAATCCACAGAACATGGTACAATAGGTAATACTCATTTGTCTCACTTTTAAGCATGACAATTCATTCATCGAGAATGGCTTTTACATTCACCTGTGGCTTCCTTTGAATATATTTAGACTGTATCCAAGTCTAACCCAGCCTTAATTGATATGAGTTGATGAGATAGAATTAAACCCAACTTTTTTGGTACCTTAATGAAAAAAAGAAATTACCCAACCTTTTGGTGTACCGACAATGGACTTATTTTATATTTTGTTTTGTTTTAGTTAAATTGATAGGCTCTGAATGCTTCTTTATAATTGAGACATGGATGAAGAAAAAGGAGACAATAATGTTTACCCTCAATTCCCATTAACCACATAAATCCAAAAAATTGTCAACATAAATCCCTATTTGATTATGAGTAATTCCTCCTCCTCCCCATCCTTACCCCTAAACTTCAAAAACCCTAATTTATAGAAAAGCTAATTCTTCCTCAGTCATAGAAACAGAGCGGTGGTAGCACCTACCTCCGATGTCCCCATTTCAGTAATTAAAGCATCGCATGAGCAGAATGTTCTACCACTTCTCATTTCATGCAACGGTGAAAACACATGAACATCGAGAGATGGAGGTAGCATGGTTTTCAAGTACAACCCTTCATCAGACTTCTCCATGGCGTGTTAACATCAGAATGCCAAAATTCACATTTTAGATGGCAAAAAGCCCATGATATGGGTGGGACAAGCAAACTGGTTAAGATTTCGGAGATCACTAAATTAAAACCCTCTTTTTAGAGTCTCCTTATTGGAATCCCACCACGTAAAAACTACAACACATTAATTTTGAGATTCTATGATGATCAGATCCTATCTTGATTCTTGTGGTATATTTTTCCTCTTATTCAAGCAGAACACAAATATCTATGTCATTTACCAAATGTAAAGATATATAATGCACACTTTTGCATTTATTCTCCATTATTTAAGATCTCCTAATATTTAACAAAATCCTCAAGAACTAACTACCGTCCACGCTTTACAAATAAAATTTCAATTGACTAATAACCAATATATTCTTGAGAAAATTTTATCATGGTATTAAACTTTAAAGAGAGTTTCAACTTTTAAAAGAATTTAATAGTTTCATTAATTTTTTCTATAATAATTGAGTATGGATAGAAATGGGAATAGAATCATAATGTAGAGGGTAGAGTCAGCAACTAGACACCTTCTTCTGCAGTAACAGTTGCTCATTACTTATTATGACACAAAAAATATTTTAAATTTTTAAGCTAATATTATCATAAAAGATAGTTAAAAATGACCATTTATGAACTAAATGACGAAAAGTCATAACACAAAAACATTCCACATTTCTTTTTACTTTTTCTTTCTCTTTTACTTTATTTTATTTTATTTTTTTGGTGGTTTACAAGGATTAAAATAAAGGTTCAATAATTGGTAAGGTGTTTTATGAATCTTGGAGAATCAAGAGGGGTAGACCAGCAAGGCAGGTGTTAAGTATTCCTGCATAAGTTTTATCTTTCCCTTAAAAATAGAGTGAATAAAAACATGCAACTTAATATAATAAAACTTCTTAGAGCGCCTTCTCACTTCTCACTTCTGAGATCCAAGTTCAAATCCACTCCCATTTATCTGTTTATTTGGGGGGTTGCGGGGCTGATGAAGCTGGACGCACCAGCGATTTTAAGTTTATACAGTATCAATTAGAACACAAAAGGAGTGACATGTGAAAATGTACAAAAAAAAGTAACAAAATGCTGAAACGAATAGATGAAAAAATATGTATATAAATACCTTCAAAGTGGACGAAATCATGCCCAACATTCCAGGCATGGGCCTCATGAGCACTCCACGATCATTATCGATCACCTATTAATCAGTAAACCATGGCAAAAGGGAGTATTTCATGCAAACGCGTCAAAGAAAAATACCAAGCATAAACAGTAAAGAAACTAAGAGAGAAGTGTCTGACTTGTATTTGCCTGTTCTTGATCATGGATTTATTTGTCCTTTCACGGCATATTTTTCGATATTCTTCAATGTTCTGATGATGGGGCTTCATGTCAAATTTATGTTCCACTCTGCCTTCAATGGAAACTCTTCCTATGAGAAAGAAAATGTTGTAATAGAAGCACACAAACAAACAAGAGACGTGTTTCCTCCCAAGTCGATTCGACTAAGGATAATTAGACTCCGCAAGACGTTGAAAAAATGAAAAGAAAAAAGCACCAAATCGACCTATTTCTCAGTGTATCCAATACAATACAACCTTGAATAACTTAGTATAAATTTCATAGTGATAGACACTTCAAGGGGAACTTAAGCAACAATAAATAAATTATCCATCACAAAAGAGAAAAAGCCCATTTAAAACATTAATTGCATCCTGACCAAAGTCCTTAAATACCCCAATGGGTGATATACCCACACAAGCATCTCGGATTTGTAGATTTCTCTTAAACTCACATGCTACTTGACAAGTACATGTGGAATTATTGGATTTTAAATTTAGCAAACAGCAACACACTATGTTTGGCCCCCCCATTTTTTCAAAAACTCAATTTTTTCAAAATTTATTTTCAACCACGCATTCTCTCATTAAATAATGTTACACGCAAATCGAAAACTTTTTCTTCTTTTTTAACCACACATTCTTCAAAAAATCACTATTCCAGAAAATACTTTCTTACCAAAATGGGGCTCCAACAGGAGTTAAATATCTATAGCTGTCTGGAATAGGAAACCCTCAAACCTGTAAACTGAACACAAATCAACAATCCGACAATCTTTTATGCTTTTTTTGCAAGCGTCAGTTTCACTGTAAGGTAATTCTTGGTTCTCTTAGCCAAAATTTTCTAGCAACCTAACAGTCTAAATTATGGATTCAATTTTTTGTTATATTTATATGCACCTATAATTTATATTTCTAAGTATTCATTCAAATATCTAGAGTCTGTCAAACCCCAATACTTTAAAAGGTCACCACACCACCAGCTCTCATGATTAAACGTGGTAAGAAAATTTAAGAGTTGAACCAATTGTACATTCATGATACACAATTCAAGTGAAATTTTGAATAGTCTAGAGTAGACTGCAATATTACCAGAGACACAGCGTGTTCCCCTGTGTAGAATGAAATCCACAGAACATGGTACAATAGGTAATACTCATTTGTCTCACTTTTAAGCATGACAATTCATTCATCGAGAATGGCTTTTACATTCACCTGTGGCTTCCTTTGAATATATTTAGACTGTATCCAAGTCTAACCCAGCCTTAATTGATATGAGTTGATGAGATAGAATTAAACCCAACTTTTTTGGTACCTTAATGAAAAAAAGAAATTACCCAACCTTTTGGTGTACCGACAATGGACTTATTTTATATTTTGTTTTGTTTTAGTTAAATTGATAGGCTCTGAATGCTTCTTTATAATTGAGACATGGATGAAGAAAAAGGAGACAATAATGTTTACCCTCAATTCCCATTAACCACATAAATCCAAAAAATTGTCAACATAAATCCCTATTTGATTATGAGTAATTCCTCCTCCTCCCCATCCTTACCCCTAAACTTCAAAAACCCTAATTTATAGAAAAGCTAATTCTTCCTCAGTCATAGAAACAGAGCGGTGGTAGCACCTACCTCCGATGTCCCCATTTCAGTAATTAAAGCATCGCATGAGCAGAATGTTCTACCACTTCTCATTTCATGCAACGGTGAAAACACATGAACATCGAGAGATGGAGGTAGCATGGTTTTCAAGTACAACCCTTCATCAGACTTCTCCATGGCGTGTTAACATCAGAATGCCAAAATTCACATTTTAGATGGCAAAAAGCCCATGATATGGGTGGGACAAGCAAACTGGTTAAGATTTCGGAGATCACTAAATTAAAACCCTCTTTTTAGAGTCTCCTTATTGGAATCCCACCACGTAAAAACTACAACACATTAATTTTGAGATTCTATGATGATCAGATCCTATCTTGATTCTTGTGGTATATTTTTCCTCTTATTCAAGCAGAACACAAATATCTATGTCATTTACCAAATGTAAAGATATATAATGCACACTTTTGCATTTATTCTCCATTATTTAAGATCTCCTAATATTTAACAAAATCCTCAAGAACTAACTACCGTCCACGCTTTACAAATAAAATTTCAATTGACTAATAACCAATATATTCTTGAGAAAATTTTATCATGGTATTAAACTTTAAAGAGAGTTTCAACTTTTAAAAGAATTTAATAGTTTCATTAATTTTTTCTATAATAATTGAGTATGGATAGAAATGGGAATAGAATCATAATGTAGAGGGTAGAGTCAGCAACTAGACACCTTCTTCTGCAGTAACAGTTGCTCATTACTTATTATGACACAAAAAATATTTTAAATTTTTAAGCTAATATTATCATAAAAGATAGTTAAAAATGACCATTTATGAACTAAATGACCAAAAGTCATAACACAAAAACATTCCACATTTCTTTTTACTTTTTCTTTCTCTTTTACTTTATTTTATTTTATTTTTTTGGTGGTTTACAAGGATTAAAATAAAGGTTCAATAATTGGTAAGGTGTTTTATGAATCTTGGAGAATCAAGAGGGGTAGACCAGCAAGGCAGGTGTTAAGTATTCCTGCATAAGTTTTATCTTTCCCTTAAAAATAGAGTGAATAAAAACATGCAACTTAATATAATAAAACTTCTTAGAGCGCCTTCTCACTTCTCACTTCTGAGATCCAAGTTCAAATCCACTCCCATTTATCTGTTTATTTGGGGGGTTGCGGGGCTGATGAAGCTGGACGCACCAGCGATTTTAAGTTTATACAGTATCAATTAGAACACAAAAGGAGTGACATGTGAAAATGTACAAAAAAAAGTAACAAAATGCTGAAACGAATAGATGAAAAAATATGTATATAAATACCTTCAAAGTGGACGAAATCATGCCCAACATTCCAGGCATGGGCCTCATGAGCACTCCACGATCATTATCGATCACCTATTAATCAGTAAACCATGGCAAAAGGGAGTATTTCATGCAAACGCGTCAAAGAAAAATACCAAGCATAAACAGTAAAGAAACTAAGAGAGAAGTGTCTGACTTGTATTTGCCTGTTCTTGATCATGGATTTATTTGTCCTTTCACGGCATATTTTTCGATATTCTTCAATGTTCTGATGATGGGGCTTCATGTCAAATTTATGTTCCACTCTGCCTTCAATGGAAACTCTTCCTATGAGAAAGAAAATGTTGTAATAGAAGCACACAAACAAACAAGAGACGTGTTTCCTCCCAAGTCGATTCGACTAAGGATAATTAGACTCCGCAAGACGTTGAAAAAATGAAAAGAAAAAAGCACCAAATCGACCTATTTCTCAGTGTATCCAATAGAATAGAAGCTTCCCAGATAAATAATTAAAGAGCATAAAAAACAGTTAAGCAGTCATAAAGACTAAAGTAGCATGACTGAGTAATTCATTCATGCAACAATGAATTGAACAAGTGACCTTGAAATGCAATGTTGAACCACCTAATCTAAAAAGCATAAGCTCAGAGTATAACATATAAATCATTTAAATTATATTGCCTTCAGCATGCTCTCTTAGCTACCAATGACTAGGATTATAATGCGACAAGACTTGAATCAGACCTTTGAACTACTTAATCTAAAAATTTGAACTATTAGGAGATATCATGTGTATATGTTTAAATATTGTCTTCAACACAGCAAGATGACAGAAGTCGTGTAGAAGTACTGGATCATCAATTTAGGGCAGGGCAGTATGATAAAGAGCATGCATGGACGAATGATTTGGATGAGCTCATTGGAATTCAGCAAGCCATGCCCATCATAGACACTTCATAGAAATTCTAAGCCAACATAGAAAGTTCACCAGCTTGTTAACTTATTCCCCTGGCATCAGGATAGAAGTTCAGAATCCGGTCTTTCCAATCTATCATATTAAGCATTGCATAGACATTTGCTCATAGTACCAATATTAAAAGACATTTGTTTCCACATTAAGGGAGAACGGAGATGAACAAAGATTCTCTCCTTCTGAAAGAGCAATGAAACAGTGAAAAAGAAAGCGATGCTACGGCTCAAATAATGCACTAAGATGGCCGGTAGAGAGAGGATAACTCCCATTATGTCGAACGACCCCACTATATTAGGTGGCGTCTATCATGATATGGTGACTGCCATTTTGGTAACTCGATTGACACTATGCTTGCTTGCCCATAGGGTGAAAACTACTCCCAGCCTGTCAGGTGACTTTCGCCATAATCAGGTACTTATTGCTACGCCAGTCTGACTCCCGCCATGCGCGGACCAACCACCACTATCTAAAACACTCGAACATCAATGGAGCTGGTGAGTAACCGTCAAAATGGTAATCGTTAAACCCGCCATTCAAGTAGTGACCAGAAGATAGCCACTAAACAAGTGGGAGGAAACCGTCTGAGGAGTGGGCATGTCACATGGGGACACGTGAATGACAACTATCCGACAGTTACGCAGTGCCAGACGCCTATAAATACCCTACAGGCCTGCCACGTAAAGGGAGAGACTTTCTTTCAGAAAAATACTCTCCTGTTATTTTTCACTGCTCTTTAATATCCTTTTACTAAAAACAATCACTGATTCTCACGCAGGAGGTAAACAAGGAAGGAAACCCCAGCCTCTTTTTTGCAGGATCAGCTAAGAAGTAAAGACAACTTTTTCCCACCCAAGAAGACAGGGAGATAAACAAAACACTTCTTTCTGCATTCAACCATGATCGAACACTCCGATATCCAACACTTCAAGCATAACGTAAAATTTAGCATCACATATTAAGTAAATCCTCACTTCCAGATTGTAAGAAGACTTATGTTATCTCATTACAGATATTGGGATTTTGCACATCGCTTTTAGAACAACATCGTAAAGCATATGTTATTCTTAATACATCATTGTAATATTACTTGTACACCTAAAAGAACTTTCTTGACATTCAACGTAATCAAAAACGTATGAAGTGCATCTTTGGCATGGCTTAAAAGCCAGAAAAATTCAGGCTCTTTTGGGCCTTCTTCGGCAGCTCCAAGTGTTTTATTGACCAGCTTCTTTTTGGCTTTTAAGCAAAGTCAAAAATACTAAAAACCTATAAAAATCAAACAGGGTAAAAAAACTTGGAGGTACGTGTCTCGGGATGTCAAAATTCCACTACACAGAACAAATGACGAAGGAAAAAGGAATATGCAAGTCAAGTTAGCACCTTGGTTTGTCTCCGAAAAAACGCACATGGGAACGATATCCTTGAACATATTCAGGGAGTAACTCTTTGGCACGTTCGCAACCTCACTTCCAGCCATCTCCATAGAATACTGATACACGTAAAACTAATTAACAAAATCATACAATTTATTCCTACAATACCAGGCACAAAAACCCAAAAATTAAATTTAAAAGAAGACAGCGATAAATTAAGTATACTTCAAGAGAAGAAGAGCCCTCGGGGTTGAGGGGATCGAGAGAGACGACGACTTTGGCCACAGGCGGAGAGTCGGAGGCCGCGGCGGCAGACTCCCATGCCTTGGAAACAGCAGGAGGACACTTCATCAGCCACGCCGATCGCTCGGCTTTTGAAGTATCCACCGTGCTGTAGCTACTGTTATTGTCGGTGTAGTTACCTTGCTCGTTCTCCATGCTGCTCTGTGTGGGTGTCTGTTTTGGGTCCGTTTCTGACAATGGGCGTTTCTGAAGAAGAAAACGAGGAAGACTGAATCAGACCAGGTCATCCGTTATCGGGTCGGACTTTCACAACCCGTCAAATATGGGGGTAATTTTTAGGCTGGAAAATTCTTCCTATTTTTCATAATAACTTCTTTTGTTAAAAATACTATTTTGCCCTTATTAAAGTTATTTGTAAAATGTATCTTATATCTTTAAAAATTTATCAATCATGACCTATATCTATATTTTTCAGTCTTTCGAACACCTTTAAATATTCTTTGTATCTAGATAGTTCTTCAAAGATTAAGGTTGGCCTTTCTTGGTTATATATCCTCGAACTAATCCTTCTGAAATTTTTTCTTGTATATTTCTATGTTTGGTTATGATATCTTCTACCTTTCTTATTTCTCTACTAGTTCCTACAGAGTCAAATCCTATATTATTTCTACAATTATAATCTATATCTCTATATTCTTCAATTTTTTCTTTACCAACAGGAAATATATCATCAGATTTTTCATCTAATTTAAGTAAAAATGATACATTTTTTTCATCTAAAAATAATATGAGATTATTATCATTATTAGTAGTGGAAGTGGATGCATGTGAATTGTTCATCAGAATAATTAAAGCATGAGTATATAAAAGCAAGTAAATAACTTACAGTAATCAAGTAAAAATAAATAGGTTTTTCCTCTAGTATGCTCTTATAAATGCTTTGCATGTGTTTAATAAATCTTCTGACTCAAGTAAAGATTTAAAATGTTTTTGAAATCATTTGGGTCCACAACTGCTTCCGCAGAAGGCTTTTCAATTAAGGTTGCATTTCTCACTCTAGAGAACTAGCCGTGTTTCCACAGACACTATCTCACAGTATCCAAAGTCTCTGTTTTCACCTCTATCCAAACTCTTTTCAGAATGAAATTCTTACTTGGAACAAAATTTTAAAAGATAACTCACACACAAGGTGCTACAATTTTTTGTTAGAAAATTGCCTTTTTCCCCTAAACCATTCATCAAAGACGTGTACTTTAGCATGGCTAACATCCATTCAAAATCAAAGTTTTGAAAAATCTTTTAAAATCTCTATCTGTACTGCCGAGGAATTATGAGAAACTTAACGAAATCCTTTTATGAACGTTTTGTTGAACATAACAAACTTTACTTTGATATTCATAAACTGAAATTGTACATGCTTACAAACTATATTTACATACATTTGGTACTCACCTTATGAAGTTTAGAACTCCATAAGTGATTACCTTATTACACGCTTTTTTATCTTCAAACTATCTAATATTTTTCTGAATGCAAGTGGTGTATACAGTTACAAAAGATCTATCTGGGATGTATTTTTTCTGAGTGTTTTAGAGATAAGCTATTTCGAGATTTCTTCCTTCCTCATCCTTTTATAGAAGCCTCTGAGAACCTTATCTTGACAGGTGTTTTCCACATTTTTTTGTTGGGTAGCTAGGCCATCTTATCTCCACCGAATTTTTCCATTATCTTCTTGCTAGTGGATCTCTCCTTTTGAAATTAGATACCTTATCTTTTGAGTTTGTCTGCCACTTGTAACAATTGGTGGGGGTAGTCACAATTATGGAGACTTTTCTTGCATTATCTTCTGTCTTTTAGTAGCCATAGTTTTTCTTTAATAAATTTCTTTATTAAAGTAGTGATAAAGGGCTACTTTAGTCACCATCACTTTTCCGTTTTTGATTCAAAAAATTCTGCAGGGAATTCTTCATCATTAAAGGATGCTTGACTCATATCTTCAACTACACAGTATTCACAATGGTGATCACTGTAATTCCAAAGTAATTTGCATAATTCTTTAACCATATCTTCTGATCCATGCACTTGGTTGGAAATAATTGCAGATAATAAATGGTCGAGATAACAAATATCTTCTTCCTTGGTAGCCACCCTTGCATTGAAATAGATAATATGATTTTCAGATGGATAAACCCATATTTTTTCTTTTTCAGTGATTATCTGAGTTACATGTTCAAATATCTCTTTGTACCCTTTTGCTCTTCTGTAGGGCATCATATTTAGAATATCTTGATAATTTTTGCTAGGATATATACAAAGTATATTTCCTATTTCAAAACAATTTCGAACCCAGTTGGCTGGTGCTCCTGGATAAAAATTTATCTTGTTGTATTTTGAATAGTGGAGAGTCTTCATCCACTTTCCAATCTCCAGATATCAATCTGATAAAATATTAAAAATAACAATAAAGAGTGTTACTTCTTCATGGTTATCTTTTCTGGGAATTTTTGCTTCATGACATATTTTGACAATATCTTTTGGATCTATCCTTTCAATAGAAAGTTTAGATTGAGTTTGGCTCTGTGAAGAGCTACCTTCTCTTTTGATATCTTGAATATCTTTATTACCAGTAATAGGTTCAAGTTTTCCTTGTGAAGGGGTTCCTATTACCTTCTTTTCTTTCCCTTTATCCTCGGGGAGAGCGCTAGTATTCACAAGTCCCTGTGAAGGGATACTAGACTTGGTACAAGTGATTCCTGCCTCAAGGACTATATTTTTGCCTCGAAGGCTATCTTGGATATTTTGAATTTGTGTTTCCAAATAGGAAACTTTTATCTCAAGTATGTGGACTTTTGTCCTTAATTGTTCCAGCTCCATCCCTGCTAAGATAATCAGGAAGAAAGTTAGTTTAACCTTTCATGTATTCTATATCAAATTTGAAATATGAGAACCATATTTGTATCCTAATAATATATCTATTGATAATAGATGGATCAACATTATTTTTCAAAAATACTTTAACTTGAGTATTATCAGTTCTAATCAAGAACTTCTTTGGTAATAGATAATCCTCATATTTCTGAACTCCTCTTTTCACAGCAATGAGTTCTTTTCTATTTGTCTCATATCTTGTTTCTACTTCTTTGAATGTTCCTGATGTATAACATGCAAGTATTTTAGGACAAGAACAATCTTTTTCACATTTATACACTTTATGATTCTTTTTCACCTTTAACATTGCTCCCATGTAATGATCTGAAGCATCAATTTCAAGGATAAAGAAATCTTCTTCTGTGGTATTACAAGTTTGGGCAATACCTTTAACTCTTCTTTAACTTTCCTTATATTTTCACAATCTTGTTCTTCCCAAGACCACATAATATTTTTTCTCAACTTTGGAATAAAATAATTTTTTAATTTGGCACAATTTTCAATGAATCCTTCAGCATAATTTAATATACCAAGAAAATTTTGTAATTTTTTCTATCTTTGATTTCTTCAGGAAACTCTTGAAGTTTTTCTCCAATATGAGATTGCAATTGCAATTCTCCTTCTTTTATAAATAATCCTAAAAATTTTATCTCTGTTCTAGCTATCTCAACTTTCTTTTGAGAAAGTGTAATACCATATTTTTTCATAATATAACAAAATTTCTCAAGATATTCGATATGTTCATCAATATTATTAGAATGAATAAGTAAATCATCTACATATGCAATACAGAAATGAGTAATTGGTTTGATTACCTCATCTATTCTCCTTTGGAATATATGTGGTGCATTTTTCAACCCAAATGGCATTACATTCCATTCGTATTGTCCTAAAGGATTGGGGGTACTAAATGCAGTTAGTGGTTTACTTTCTTCTGTAAGCATGATTTGCCAAAACCCTGACTTACAATCAAATTTTGAAAATATCTTTTTGTTCTGTACTTGTTTAATAAGGGTGTCCTTATTTGGCAAGTAGTATCCATCAAATTTAGTAACTTCATTTAATTTCTTGTAATTTATCACCATTCTGACTTTTCCTCTTTTTATTTCACTATACTTTATAACCATAAAGGCTGGGCTGCTATGTGGACTTTTACTAGGCCTAATTAGCTTGGCTTCTAGCAATTCTTTTATCTGGTCTTTAAATTCTTTTTGGTCATCAACATTATATTTCATGGGTTTGACTCTAACAATAGTGTCTGGATTAGTTAATTCTATCTTTGCCTTTATTTTATCAGTATTCCATTTTTCTAAAGGATTTTCAAAATATGTTTTAGAAATTTCTTTTTTCAATTTTTATAATCTATTTTCTGTTGTCATTTTTAAGACTGTAACTGGTTTAAATTTTTCTGTACTCCAACATCCATCACGCTGGGTTGAGGAACTTTGATGGTTTATATCTGTATATGCTATCGTAACAGTTTTATTTATTTTTTGTGTAAATATTTTATGTGCACAAGGTGTTGTGAACATATACTTATCAATATATTGTGTAAATGATACATATTTTAATAGGAAATTTTGTCCTAATAAAATATCACATCCAATTGTGGTTGACATGTATATTGTATCAACAAATACTTCTCTAAAGGAAATTAGAAAAGGTACTTGCGTAGCATATTTGCTATATAATACCTTATTTCCTCCTGCTGTTGTAGCGGTGACTATCTTCTTTGAATTGTATATCCAGTATTCAGATGGTAGTACATTTGGTAAGCATAAGCTTATTGTACTTTCTGTATCTAAGTAAGCATGAAATTTAATTCTACAATAGCTTTTTATATTAAGTGTGATTTCAATAAATGGACTCATGGGGTTAGTACTTATTACTCTTTCCATGATAACAATGATTTCATATTTTCATCTATTCTTGATATGATGATTGGGTTATCATCAACTGTTATTTTTAAATATCTTTGACAAATTTTATAAGGACTATATTTCTCAAGAAAGTTCATTCCTAGTAGAATAGGTGAACAATCTACTCCATATAATTCATCTTTATATAGAATTATTTTTTTAGTATATTCTTTCTGATCCTCTCCTATAAGTATAAGAGGAAACTTAACATATTTTCTTAATTCAAGATTATTTCCTAAATAATCTTTAAATATGTATGGTTCTGGTATTTCAAAGTCTCTTAAATGACTAACAAATTTAGCATTTACATGACTTTTATCTGCTCCAATATCTATGAGGACAAGAAGATTCTTCTTGTATCCTTCTTGGTTTACATATCTTGTCTTAATGTAATATTGCGAATTTGATGGTTCAGCAATACTTAGATTCTT